ATTTATAATCATCCTATTTTAATAAAAGAAATTAGGGATGGTAGCAGCTTAATTCAAAAAAAAGGTGATTTTTTATAATGCAATCGAAGTTATTAGTAGTTGATTTTTTTTGGTCAAAGTTTTTAGTAACTGTGGAAAACTTTATATTTTTTATATAATTTTAAGATTAAATTGAGAGAAACTTAAAATTAAATTTTTTTATATAAAATCGAATTTCACAAGAAATCAATTCGAATACTTCCAAATATCATAAATTATAAATAGTATTTAATTAGTCAAATTTCGAACTTAGAAAATTGAGGTGCTATATATCACATCTTTCAACATTAATATATGCATATGAAAAAGAAAAGGAAGGGCCGGCCCTGGGTTAGGAAGGAGAGGCCCCGCCCGGGGGCCCATAAATTCTTATTTTTATGATAAATTTAAAAAGAAAAATTGTAACTAACCCGTTGGTCTAGTGGGTTGAGACTCTAGGTTCTTTAAGCAAGATCAGGTGTTCGAATCTTGACGTTTCCGAATGGAGCAAACTGAGTTGGGAGAGTCGCCCTCGCCTCTGCAATACCTTATCTAGAATAGTCGGTCAATAGATCAGATACTAGTGATTAATACAAAAAAAATTGTAAAAATAAAGAATGAAGCTTGTTAGTTTATTAAAGTGTCAATTTTTATCATTGAATTTTTATATTAATATTAATAAATTGTTCAACTTCTCATAAAATTTAATTCAATGTCTCTTTCACAGAATTAAAAAAATTGAATCTCTTTAATTTTTTTCTTACCAAATTCTCACCATCAATTCACTAAGTCTCTTTTCTGATTTTTCATATCAATGGAGAATTTGATTAACAATATTTTTTCTCTTCAAAATTCAAAATTGAAGTATAATTAGTAGGCTCTTTTTTTTTCTTTTCCATATTTCATAACTCCTCTGAAAATTATTACTCTCACATTTTAATTTCTCATATTTCTCACAAGCACAAAGTCACAATTGTTTATCATCAATTGTGGTGTTTGAATCATATTAAAATCTTTCTTGAAATTCTAGGTAGATTATGTTTTCAAATTCTTTCTTTTGAATTTTATATATTTCTAAATTCTAGATAAGATCGTTCTTTTATTTCCAAATGTTATATGTATTGAGAAAAATATGTTGAAAAATTGATGTTGACACTATTGTCATATACCGTGAGCGACGACCAAGGTCACCATGCAACAAGCAGCCCATGACTACTTGAGTGTCGTGTTGGGCTTGTCCAAGTACATATAGTCTGGCACATTCCATGGGGATGAATAGCCTTGCATGATTATGGCAAGTATATTACTTGGTTAATGCACAATCATCTTGATTCTTTCGATAATCTTTGTAATCTTCTATCTACGCCATGTTTTCAATAGCTTTGTTTAGTTTCCTTAGATGAAGAGATCTTGCAATTATGATTCATTAGATTGAGGGATTATATTCAATCTAGTCGGTCGATATACTTAGATCTTGGTCGTTCATTGAGGGGAGCCTCTACCATAAATAGAGGCATCCCCTCCTCATTTGTACTCACTTTTTTATTTTAAGAAACCACAAAGCATTCACTCAAAGTTCTCTTGTTTTGTATTTGTGCTTGTCTTCTCTTTCAAAGTTCTTTGTTTTCGTGGGAATCTAAGCATTTTGTTTGGATTGTTTTCAGGCTGACTTAGTCTCAATCACTGAGAAAGCGACTAACGTCGCACGTTCAAGCCTTTTGAAGTTTCAAGGGCATGACACTATCATCAATGATTTTACATCAAGAAATGATGGAAGACAATGTTTTTGTAAGAATTTGTATGATTAAATGTATTTTTTTGACATTTTTATATTGTAACGAATTACTATTTGTTTAATTTAATAAAAAAACTTTAATAAAAATTTTATACTACACATTTCTTAAATTTTTTAAAATTAAGGGCTCATTTTTTTCATCCCTAGTCAGGACCGACCTTGAGAAAAAGTTAAATTGAATCCTAACTAGTTTTGCCAAATACTTAAGGTTGGCCAAAAATGTTACATTTTCTCTACTCGTCCATATCGGGGAGTTCTGTTGTGAGGCGTCTAAAATAAGAACCGGTAAAAAAGGTAACATGTTAAAAACAGAACACAAAATGTTTTAATTCGGAACCAGAAAAGTTATCAATCATAGTAACATAACAGGTTGCACCTAAATGTTATAAAGGGTAAGATAATGAGTTATAAACAGTAAATGTCATGAATATTATTAACATTTTAGTTTGCGCCTAAAATATTACTAGATTTTAAGTTGATGGGGCCTCCAGCATTCTCACGATAACAAAATAAGTTAAAAGTTGGAAATGTTATGTATATCTATAATAAATATGGTTGCGCCCAAGAATGTCATAGTTTACTAAGAAATTAAGTTGTGTGATATGGAATGTTAATATTTTTATTGTAAAATAGGTTGTGCCTAAAAAGTTACTAGAGTTTAAGCTGATTGAGCTTTAGATTTTCCGACAATAACAAAATAAGTTAAAAACTAAAAATGTTATGAATATATATAATAAATACGGTTGTTCCCAAGAATGTCATGGTTCACTAAGAAATTAGGTTTGCTAGAATGTTAATATTTTTATTAATAAAATGTGTTTCACCTAAAATGTTACTTAAGTTTTGAATAAAATATGTTAAAAGCTAAAATGTTATATCTATTATAAATCTAGTTACGCCTGAGAATGTTATCGGTGAAGAAGTATTGATATCTATTCAGAGTGAATAGAAACAAAAAACTAAAAAAAAAAGTTTGAAATTTTAAATTCAATATTTAATAAATGATGATCAATAATTTAAATATTGAAAAAGTTGAAGATAATATTAAAAGTTAAAATATAGATACTTATGCAATAATGATCAATACTTTTAATGTAAAACCCTAAATTCGATTGGACTAAAGTGTCACACTGAGCCACCGAGGTGACCCCTAATTTTCAAAACCTATTAATTTTTTTTCAAACATACTAAATGGTATCATAATAATACATAAATAACAGTCATAAAAATATTTTATAAAATCGAAACTCTATGACACATATTTTAAAACACAATAATACACCTTAAAGTTTACAACTCAAATACATAAGTAAGGTTTTATGAATACACATGTCCACTAAAGTTACAGTACAATACTCTGTCGGAGATGCTGGAAGTCCTGTTGCGACGGTGCTCAACGAACTGCCCAAGCTATTGATCTGCCAACGAAAAACATCCGAAGGTTGAACTTACAAAGTCCAATAGTATAATCGCTAATATAGAGCAACATAAGAATTTCACAAACATAGACATATTGAGACGTGGTACTAAGCAGTTGGTACATGCATGACCTAGATCCAGTGCTACTTACTTAAGACTTTACTGCTCTATCACTGACGTAGGGTTCTCACGTTTCCCTTAATCTTCTGCTAAGGGCCTCTCCATGAGTACACCTCTAAAGGATCTCTAACCCTAACGACTGAACATACTATGCATTATCTAAATATGAACCTGGCATACTGTGTATTATCTGAATGCAAACTTGACTAGTATATGGTCTCACATAGCTCTCAGGCACTAGTTACTGAAGGAACGTTGGTGTCACAAAGCATCGTCGTAGTTTCCACAAAACATACTGAATGATCTCTTGGTCCTCACATAACCATCAGATAGATCACTGAAGGGAACCCAATGTCACATAGTATCAGTATAATTCCCGTACAAATTGAAGCATTGGCTCGGTCTCACATAGCCTTCAAGCGAAGCTTTAACATATCTGACATACTAAACTGATGGGACTACACATGCATGACTAACACAAACATATATGAGAAAGGTCTAGTGGTGTGGTAAGAAGAATTTATGTGCATCTCGGAGCAACACCCTAGCCTACCTTGATTACAAAACAACCTAAGGGTAAGAACCGAAATTTAATTACATCGGAAGCTTAAACTCAAGTAAAATTTTAATCAAAACCTAAAATGTTAATAATATTAATAACTTTTACAGTTTATGACTTATTTTCTTATCATTATAACATTTTAGGTACTATATGTTATGTTACTACTATTGATAACGTTTCTGATTCCACCTTATAATATTTTATATTCTACTTTTAACCTGTAAGATAAGTTTCCAGTTACACATTTTAAGTTAATTTAAAATATTTACAACCCAACATATTACATATAAGTCTACATTTTCTGTTGTACTAAACCAATTTTATTAAGATTTTTTTCAAATTTCCGGTTGCTGCAATTTTTAACCTTACCTTTGTCTATCCTTTAACAACTCCGTCCATATCAACAATCCAAGGAACGAACAAACGGCAAAAGGCGTCAGACTCTGATCTGTTCTACCTTCATTCCTCTTTCGGCAGTGTTATAGCAATGTCCAACCAGCCATGTTCCCCGCGGGACTTTGCCAGCTAGTTTCATCAAAGGCTTAAGAAAAATGCTGACAATCAGCTCTGCCATATAGATTAGCTGGGATGGTTGGAACAGAATGGCAGCAGTAGCAAGAAGTGTAATAACATTATTTTGAGCAACCAATAATAACAATTTGTCCCCAATTTGAAGTCAACCACCAAAATAACTAAAATCAGAACAAACGCGCTCATAACCAATCACTTGTCTAAGTCTTCCAGCCATTTCTACGAGGGACCTTCCTAGCAACACATACACCAAACTTTTCCCCCACTAGAAGATTTGTGGCTGTGGTCCACCTTAGTCTAATCTTTTTAACTATCAAACGTGTTACATGTACATAACAGAAAAAAGTGCAATTTGACGAAAAGTAAAACTCATATAACAAAGGAACAAGAGAGGTAGAATTCAAGTAAAACGATTAAGTGATGGTAGCCATCCAGCTGCCAGATACTGTATGCCTCAGGGAAGAGTAGAAAATGATGCTAGACAGTCCCTCAAGGTAATCCAAAGATGGTACTTCCTCTGTCTCATGGCATCAACTAGGACATATCAAATCTTATATCACTTCCAAAGTTTTATGTTCCAGCTGGATGCATGAAATGTTGTAGCCCCATTTGCCGTTTCACATGATCCGGAATCAACTTATTAATAAGCTCACGTGAAGCCCCAGATAACTGTAACCAAAAGAATGAGCATGTAACTTTATACATACCAGATTGAGAACATGAAACAAAACCTCAGATAGAAAATAATCCAACCTAAAGTATTTCATGAAGATAGATCTTTGTATAAATTCAAAGGTATATGAGAATGAAGCTTAGTGCAGAAACATACTTCCTGTTTAAAATTGAAAAGTTGTGGTAAGGGCCGTCCATTTGGTAGTCGAGCATTAGGCTCTCGAAGCTCATCAAAAAAGGGATGTGCACATGCTTCAAGCTGTAATAGAAAAGAGCATGTTACAATGACACGAGGTTAGGGTGGTTATCACTAAACTTATTTTTTGGGGAGCCAAATGCTAATCGCGAGAGGTGCAAATTTCTTATGTCTAAAATGGAAATACAGTCAATCAAGGTGGTAGACACTTGCAACTTACAGCTGTACAGCGAAGACTCGGTGAGTATTGCAGGAGTCGTGAAGCAAGATCAATTGCTTCAGGAGGCATCCTTTTGTGAAAAACCTAAATCCATGAGCAAAAATATCCACAAGGCATTAAGAAAAGAAATGTGCCTTCAAAGGCACTTTGTAACTTAAAGAGAACAAAAAGCAAACCTTATGCCATGGGTGCGCTTTAATCTGTGGGAACCTAAAATCTGTGTAATTAGGATTCATGCAGCGAATCTCTTCCCTAGTGGGTGTACCTAGGACCTACAGGAAAAGATGTAAGAAGCAGTACCTTGATACAAAGAAAAGTAAATTCAAGAATCACTAAGCAGATCATATTCGTACCTTGATAATCTCTACAAGCTGGTCCACAGCATTTTCCCCAGGAAACAATGGCTGCAGATTAAAAAGAAAAGCTATCAATGAGCAGAGAACTGAATTATTGCTAGAGATTTTCAAAAAGATCAAAATCAGAAAAAAAGGGCAAAAGCTAACCTGGCCCAGCAAAAGTTCAGCAAGAACACAACCGGCTGACCAGATATCAATTGAGTTTGTGTATTCCGTGGCACCAAATATAAGTTCTGGTGCCCGATAGAAACGTGAACATATGTATGATATATTAGTTTCACCTTTGACCTGATCACATGTAAATTAATAGTATGTGTGAAGTATTTACACAAAAAAAAGGACAAGCAAAAGAGGACCATTAACATGTTAATACTGCTATTTGATCTAATCCAACTTCAAAGCAGTAGAGCAGACTCAAAATGTGTCACAACAAAATCCCACCCAATCCCCAACCCCACAATCCTTTTCTTCTTCAACCCTTCACGCTTACAAAGAGGCCATAAAAGACAGGTAAACCGGTAAAGCTAACAAGGGAGAAGTGCCCGTTTGAGAAGGATCAGCCTAGAAAAGATTCAAGGTCAGCTAATATTTCAGATATAAAGCATTTATAATGATGTAAAGAAGGGCAAAGGTTACACAAGCTTTAGCAGAACAACATTAAGGAGTCATAAACGTGTGTTATCAAAACGCTTATTCTGCAAGCTAGTACAAGAGAAATACTTTTCACAAATAGCAGATGATAACATATGATACAATCACACAAATCCCTTTAGAAATTGCAATCAGAGTCGAACATTCAAAAGACAGAGAGAGAGAGTAAAAACTCTAGTTTTAGAAACTTATGAGCCCAATAAAAATGTTTCAGTTTTGCACTTCGAATATAGTACAAAGGGGTCAACTTACAAGCACTTTTGCACTTCCAAAATCGCAAATCTTAACCTGGTGTGTCAAAGTATCAACCTGTACAAAACCAACAATTATGTCTCAGAAATATTGTCGAGACATTGTACAAAAATATCATCTGTAAGAAAGCATACCAAAATATTTTGAGGCTTCAAATCCCTATGGCAAACTCCCACAGCATGATGGAGGTAGGCAAGCCCCCTAAATATCTATAAAACCTCCACTATTTAGCATAAAGAAGAAAATTACATATGAAATCAAGCATGTAAAAGAGTACCATGCACACCTGGTACGTGTAAAGTTTCACATAGACGAGTGGCATTCTCTGATTTGGAATGCTGTAATGCTTCAAAGCTCTATACATGTTCTCCGGTACATAATCCATAACCAAGTTAAGGAAAAGCTCATTTTTACTAGTGGTGGAAAAGAAACAATGTTTCAAGGAAATAACATTCGGATGATCAAGTATGCGCATCAATTGCAGTTCCCGATTCTTATATCTTCTGTCTTGTAAAACTTTCTTTATAGCCACGGTCTCTCCAGTTTCCAAGCATTTTGCCTGAAAGAAAAGATGGATCAGTATGTGAACAAGAAGGTAAAATCAGCTAAGTCCGACTATGTTTCAGTACCTGGAAAACAATCCCGAAGGATCCTGTCCCCACTACATGCTCTGCCATATAACTGATAGTCTACAATAATCAAAACATCTAAAAACATGAAATTCCAAGTAAAAGAGTCTGGTTACAATTCCTAATGTTCATCTTAAACGTATAGTATTGATAGCTAAAGTTGAATTTGAACAGAGATAAAACCGGGTAACCCAAGAAGTGACATACCTGTTTTGGTTCACCGTTTCTGCCTCCAATAGTTGTGGAAATTATGTGACCGTTGACCGTATCCTTCCCATCGACGACAGGGGCAGACATTTCCTGGCAAATTAATAAATTTTTCAGTAAAAAAAAGAGCGAAAAGAGACTTCGTAGGAGTTAGCATCTAAACTGGAGATCCTTCAAATAAAGATAAGATATAACATATTAACATATCCAAAATAATAAGACAAAATTTTCATCATCTAGGGTTCGACGATTAGCTCAACCAACAAGATCGCCGTAAGATAAGAAGATGAATATGCAACAAAAGATTTTCATTCCATAAACATATATGAAAGTAACTGATTAAAACCTGCAAATCTCATAAGTAAAAAAAAATCCCACCGACACCCCAAATAAGCAGAACAACCAGAAGAAGAAAAAAAGAGAGTTTTCAAGCAGACTTTCAAAAGAGAAAAAAAGTGGAAACAATAAAAAAGAAAAATTTCACAAAAAAGGGGGGGAAACAGAAGATGACCGAATTCCGATGTAGAGGGGAAAATAAGGGAAATGGAGAAAATAAAGCTTACCTTATCGTCAGCCATGCTAAAAAACCGGGAAAAATATAATGACAAGAAAACAGAGGAAACAAAAATCTAAGTGAAGAAAGAGTACGGTAGTGGCGATCGAAGAGAAAAATGGGAACAAGAAGTAGAAGAAAGAAGAGGGAGGAGGACCCAGGGGAGACACACCAAACTAGTGCCCATGTGATTCCATTCCACCTCCTCTTTCTTCTGTTTTCTTTCTTTATTGGAGTACTATTTTTCAAATCATTTTATTTATATTTATTTTCTTTTTCTTCCTCTGTTTACTTTCCGTACTCTTCGCACCCCTTTTTATTCGTAGACTGCCCTTTGAATCCCTTCCGTTTTATATCCGTTACCGTTACTTGTTTTTGGTTTGTGGTGTGGTGTGGTGTGGTGTGGTGTGGTGTGGTGTGGTGTGGTGTGTGGGATTTGATGGGTTTGATGAATCTTATCCATTGGTTGTTGACGTGAACAATTCAATTAGTTTGATAAGGAAAACGAGGTTTGGGTTAAAAAAATAACATATATGATCGTGATGGATGAAATAAAACTAAATAAATAAATACTGATTTTTACCAAAGCAAGCAAGAAAAATGAATTCGATTAGACATGAATAACCCAAGTTAAATATTTAACCGATCATGGGCGAGAGCAATTAATGAAAAAACACATGAAACTCCACTTCATTCTTCAGGCTGTGATCATCTTTCATCATCACATATTGAATGGATTCTTTTTGATGATGATAGTTCATAGTTTTATGGTGGTGGGAAGAAGCGGTTGAGGTTGAAGGGGTGTGTCAAACTCTTCGTTCCGGGTATCTCCTTCGAATGTCCGGAATTCAACCCACCTTGCCATTCCTCTATCTCTTCCACTCTCTTGTAATCGAGTGTGTTGTCTATGAATACAGAGACGATTAACGCCACGGTTGGTGACGAAAAGAATACGGTGTTGAGGAAATCATTGAACTGCATTGCAATGCAAAAGCAAAACATGTCAATGTTATTGTTAAGAAAATCATTGAATTGTGGACGGCCAAGGAACATCATTTTAACTCACCCAGCCACCCCTGGTATGAGCTGGACCATGAAGAGCCTTGGCAGTGTATTCTCTGAAATACTCTGGAACAGATAAACCTAAGAACAGGGCAACTCCCACAATAAACAGATTCCTCATGGAGTTCATGTTCGTAAACTGCATGAATGACAGCCCCACCGAAGCTGAAACCAACCGAAGCCGTATTACAAAAAGGAATGTTGGTTATACAAGAAAGAACGTTACTTAATGTGATACTCACCAACAAGACCAAACAGAACACAATACACAGCAGCGAATATGGTAAAAGGTACTGATGCAAACAAAGCTCCAAATTTTCCTGCAGATGTTAAACCAAGTCAAAACAAGAACCTTTGACAACAGATTCCAGACTCCAGAGAATTGTCTATTTTAAGTAAATTCTCATTACTCACCTAATATTGAGAAAAATATAATAAAGCCAGCCGAGATTTGAATTACCCTCCGGCTTCCAACACGAGTGCTTCCAAGGAGCCCCACATTTTCTCTGTTGTTTCTCATGGAATTAGTATAGTAGCATAACATGATTTTCTGAGACGGAAAGTAACGTTACTTATGCTGAGACAGTTGAACCAGTCAGTGTTCCAAATAATCCATTCAATAGGATCCCAATGCCTTGCCAGCCAATACCACGACTAAGAACATGACGTGGAGGTGGAGTGGCACTGGCTAGACGCGAGGCGGCCTTGTAAGCTCCGGTTGACTGCCAAAACAAACATTATTTAGCTCTGATTAACTAAATAGCTGTGCATTCAATTTATTTTCTAGCTCTAATGACAATACCTCAATCAGAGAGACCAAAACAACAGCCATCATTCCAAAAGCATGCCCAGCATCAAAAGTAGGAGTACCCCATTTAAGAGGATAAGGTATCTTTATCCTGATTGAATAAATTTCAGTCAGAAAAGTTAACACAATCAAGTTCTGACTCTTAATTTTGAATTGTTTTGTCTTCTCAGTGTGCATAAAAGTATTCAACAAACGGGGAACGGCTTTAGTACCAACCATGGAGCAGAAGAAATGAGGTTGGCCTTGTCGATTCTGCAGTTTAATTCCGTTAACTCTGGACGATGTTTGTATGCACCACTAGCTGTCAAGAGATGAGCATATGCCCATATTACTGTGATCGATACAAGAAGAACAAACCGCTCCAGTATTTGAAGTTGTTTTAGCTGAAAATTCTTCAAGTACTGTTTTTTGTGACACAACATTATTAGATAAACAAACTACGAAAACCAAATGCATTTTGAAACAGATTAAGAATACTTAAAAGATAAATTTGGCCTCTAATTGATAAGCATCGAAACACTGATTTCCACACAGCGACCAACCTGATAGAGGGATAACAAGTTAGAACTACATGAGTGATACGACAAGAGGAAATTTGCATTCAAGAATTTAAAATAGCAACATAGTTTCTGTGTTATACCACAGGGAAGCCTCTATCAAACAAGCCAAAGCCCACAAGTTCAATGACTGGAACCATTCCATGGGGGCTGAAGTACCTGAAAAGCAAAAAGGTAACTTATGTCGACAGTTCCTCAATTTGTGTTTCCTGAATTTGGACACAAAATCTTCATTCAAGATTAAAATTGCACCTGGAGCAAATGGCCCACATCTGACTGTATCCCAGGATAATTTGTATGCTTGATGCGACAATTAATGCACCTTGGACAGCTCTCATAGTGTTTATAAATCTCTGCAAAATGCATAATCATAAAAGACCTTCTAATGAACCAACAGCTCACATTCTTTAATCTGAAATGCTAATAGGTGCCGCTTTAGCCTAACTAATAAAGTACCCTGATGTTTGATTTATAAGAGATCTAGTAACAAAATATGCCAAAGTTTTGTTTAGGACACGTAAGAGAGAGGGAGAGAGAGCGCCGCTGCAACTTGCTTATAATTTCTTGAACTTACTAGGGAGAGAGTGACTCATTTGAAGACTTTGATGCATGCAAGCGTTACAAAATCAACACTAAGTGGGTCACACAAATATTGACCGTAGGTCCTTGATTCTCCTTTTGAACAAGAAGATCGAGGTCAATGAAGAAAAATGCAACAGTTACAAAGTAGAAGATTGAAAAGTGTACTAACCTCGTCATTGTCCTCGATACTCATCAAGGAAGAATCGTGAATTATTGAGATAATGGGAACCATGAAGGCATAAGACCCTCCAATCACGGTTGGCAACCGAGTTCCAAACAGTGTTTGTACAAGTGTATTAATCCCTTCAACAAACAGTAGTGTCTGCACCACTCTTATTACTTTATCATCCTAAACCATTAGGGGGTGTCATGTTAAAAACAGTAACAAACAATAAAAATTCATGTTAAGCGTGCATATTTTGCTTTGTTGGTCGATTAAAAAAAGGAAGAACATCCAAAGCGTAGAAAAGAAACAGTCAGCAGAATTGGATGTGACATACATCAGTTCCACCCATCAAAGGAACAAGAAAAGAAGCAGTTCCTAAGACCAAAAATGTAATGTTGAAACCCCAAAGCTATAGTCTCCCCTGCTTCAACAAACAAAAGTGAGCATTACAAACACAAAACAACCGGTAAAGTTGAGCAAAAGAGATTTTTTTTTTAAAGGACACACCCAAATAGGATTTGAGTCAATGCAGTACTCTAAGCCTTGAAGATTGTCCATTGGCGGGTGGCTTATTTCTTCATGTTTTGGAGCTGCCATAGCTTTAACCACCTACTGTTTTGCCTCAAAAACTCAAATGGGTATCCACCAAGTGAATCAAAGAATCGATGGGTAAACTCAAAACTCTAGCATGAACGTAATGAATCATCAAGAAAACCAAGGGTGTGGATCAAGAATCGATATGGAAAGAGAAGAAGATGAAGGCAAAAGATAGATTGAGACAAAGGGTGTGTATAGAGACTTGTAAACAAAGTGAGAAAGCAAGGAAAATGAGGCACTTTGCCGCCCACTAAAAAGGATATATTATCTTCGCTCTACTTTTATTTTACTCACTGTAGAGGTAGGAATGTAAATGAGACGATATATATCGCGAGTTATTCGAGATCAACTCGATCAAGGTTCGATAAATACTCGGATCGAATGGACAAAACTTGAGTTATTAACGAGCTACTCGATATTCGACTCGAAAAGCTCGTGAGCAGCTCGAAAATATAATATATTAAGATTTTATTTTAAAAAAAAAATTAATATTAATATTTATGTATTGATTTTTTTAAAAATACAGTAAGATTTCATGTATTTAAGGTTCATGTTCGAGTTCGAGTTTAAGGCTTTAATCGAGTTAAGTTTAAGAATTTTTTTCATTTCGAGCCTTTTCGAGCTGCTCACGAGCTTCAGTTCATGATTTCGAGTTTGAGTCGAGCTTGAAAATTTTAAGCCAGCAAATTTTCAAGTCAGTCGATCTCCATTTCAAAGTTTTCGAATCGATTCGAACTCAACAATACTCGAACTCGACTCGACTCGTTTACACCTCCGGTGGTGGGGGCTTTCCTTTTCACTTTCTTTTGATTTTATGTAGGAGAAAGGTAACGTTAACTTTTCCATTTTATTCCGAAATTACCCCTTAAGCAACTTGCAAAATAAATTGATTTTTACAACTCAGCTCAGCTTCTTAAATTAATGTTTTCCCTTCTTTTGGGTTTGTTATTCTTTTTCGAGAATAGGGACCGGCATGCGTCTGCTTAGGTCACGTAGAATTTTTTATCTGATTCGGAAATTATATATCCTTTACTCGGTTGAATTTAATTTGAAAAATATACACCTTCTACCGATCTAATCCGACTTAGTTTTTTGAGATAAAATCCAAAGTTGACCCAACCTTAAATAATATATTTATTAAAAAATATTTTTATTCAACAAAAATAAGGATTTAATTGAAAGAAAATAATATATATATAAATAGTATTGTAATTATCTCTAAATATATAATATAAAATTATAATTTTTTTTCAGGTCGATTAGATATTTTTTATCTTAAATTGAAATTCAACCCGACCCGAACATAACTTCAAAAAAAAAACCAACCTAAACCGACCTTAATTTAAAAAAATTCAACCCAAACAAATTAGGTCAAATTAAATCTCGGATTTCATGCCACTTCCTAGTCCAGACCTGTGTTTTGTCATCAACATAATGCTTAATAAATAAACAGTTCTGGTCTTTCTATTAAAATTAAAATTTTAAATTTTAAAATAGAAAAATTATAATTTAGAATATTTCAGGAGTGTTTATTAGCAAAATATTAACTAACATCATTGGACAATAACAAAATATTTAATATTTATAATTAAAAAGATAATTGCATTGGTATATTATAATAAGCAACCATTAGTCGGACTCAAACACTTATTACTTATAATTACCAAAAATATTATTACTTCTAAGTTGTAATCTTTTTCCTTGAAATCAGAGAAAGGGCGAAAAGTAGGGGCATTTTATAATCATTTTGTGGTGGATGAGCATGGCATGAAAATTTAAAAGTAAGACCCTATGCTTTGATTGCCCATCTTAATTCTTAGCCCTCCTTTGTTACTTTACTGTCAACTTATTATGATCTCAAACATAGTATAAATGTATAATCACTTATTTTCAATTCATTCATTGATTATTTTAAGTATTATACAGTGATAGATCCATAAATTTAAGAATATAGTCTAAAATTTTAATTTTTTTCTTAAAAATAATGGATATGTTAAATAATAGGATGCACTTGACTCCCTAGAAGACTTAATACATCTGCCTCTGATACTCCATAGGTTTATTATGAGGTGATCCTTCCAATTTATTTTTTTCCGTTCATATCATTAAAATTCTAATTTTTGATTCTTTTTAAATTAATGTCATATCTCACTCGACCAATTGTTTATTGATGATCTCAAACACAACATTAATGGCTTTGTCTACCTTTTTTTTATTAAGTGGCTTAACACATTTTTAGGTGCTTAAATTATACCTTAAATGATTTTTAGTATTTAATTTTTTTTGCTAAAATAAGTACCTAATATTTTCAACATTACACTTTTAGGTGCTTGGACAATTATGGTTGTTAAATTTGATCGTTATCTAACACATGTCATGCATATAAAATTTCAAAAAAAAATATTTAAAAAAAGATTTAATATTATAATTTAAAAAATATAAAAGCTCAAAATTTTCCACCGATCAACCACCGTCAAACAAATTTAACCTCCAATTTAAATAATTATATTGAGGATTAAATATGTTAACTTTCACGTCAGTACTTCCGTTAAATGTTGATGAGAAGTGGCATGATTGAATATATATAAATAGTTGGGTGACCTGATTAATAAAAAATCAAAAGTTATGGTTAAAATAAAAAAGGACTATAGTTACATGATCACTGATATAGTTTACCCTTAAATTTATCGTTAATATTAAATTTTCCAACGGACGCGGAGACGAAGGCAGCAAATCTTTGAGAATCCCATTTTATATGGCTTAATATAAAAATAAGTGTCTAAATTATACTCAAAATTAATTTTTGGTGTTTAAAGAATTTTTCGCTAAAAATATGTTATAAAGTTTTATCCGTTACACTTCTAGCTGCTAACCGTAAAAAAAAGTTAAGTGATATGTATCACGTCCATATTTTAAAAAGAATATTTTTAAATAAAAATTTATTTTTTAAAAAATATGGACGTGACACGTGTCACTTAACGATTTTTTAACGGTGGACACATAAAAATGTAACAGAGAAAACTTTATACACCTATTTTTAATGAAAAATTCTTTAGACACTAAAATATTTTTCAAGACATTCTTTATATAATTATTTTTATATTAAGCGTTTTATATTGCTCAAATTTTCATCCATATCGTTACCCTTATGAATTATTATTATTTGGATCCAGCCATTTCAAATAAAGATGCTGAAGTAATTCAAATAGAGACATTACTCTGTAATCAGTCATTTTTTTATTTATATATCAATCTCTGAGGTGGAAAGGACAGCGCAACAGCCTTTTTGTAAACAATAATCTGTACAGCAAGCCAGTGATATCAAGCCAACCTGCTTCTGTCGTAGCAGCCACATGAAAGCAGAATGAGTATATATAGTTTTGTTGTTTCAGGTTGATAACGATGTTGGGATGGCCGAGTTGGTCTAAGGCGCCAGATTAAGGTTCTGGTCCGAAAGGGCGTGGGTTCAAATCCCACTCTCAACAGTCGTACTTTTCTATCTGTCACAAAATGATTGTAGTTTTTCACTCGACAGATGATCATTTTTTGTGCTTATTTTTTAATGTGTGAAAACTATTGGCAAAAAGACTGGAGTAAAGAAAAGAGGGCCAAATGAAAGAAGTGCCTCTTATTACGATGGAAATTAGAAAGCATCAGCCATGTTGGAAAGTGGGTATAAAGGCCATATATTTTTTACATACTCGTATGTATACATTATGCATGAGGGAAGGGAAAGGGATTGCTTTCTAAAACCTATCTTTTTAACAATGCATGCATGCATGTCTTCTTAACTTCATCAACAACATAGGTCAAGGTTACTACGTGAAAGCTGGAGAGCAAAAGGCTGTGCACCTTGGAAATACGGCCACACAACGCTTCCCACCTACAGGTTTTCAATGTAAAAAGCTTAGCATGAGATGAATAATTTATCTATCATCAAATCCATAACAGCTGCTTTCAAAACATTGCCCACCGTTTTCACATCAGTCAAAACAATATTCTATTGCACAACAAAAAATTTCAGCTACACTTGGGAAAAAAGAGAGAGAGGGCGCAAAGCAGATTCAAGCATGCATTCTACCACTACAACATTAAAATTGAGTTACTATTAGGGTTTATAGCATTATGATTTAATCCTTCCGTTAATGCACCTGTACATTAATTTTGTTAGTTAAAAAATTGACTTTTAAAGTTTTTTTAAACTTAAAAAAATAAATTCTTTTAAACATCACATGTTTAATTTTTGAGACTTTTGAAAACATATTAACCAAGTTTAATGAAATATAAATGCTGAACATGACCTCTCTTTGCTTTGTCTTCTTTTCCGACATCAAGGTTGGAGGGCTTTTATAAAAAAGATTGAGAGGGTTCAAGATGCTTTAAATAATAAGATTTCTGGTACATTTTACCAATGAAATTAATTATGTTATATTTTATTAATATTTTTATTGAACTAATATCTATCATTCAGTTTATTATAATCAAATTAATCAGTGTTGGCAATAATTAAAAAAAAAGATTAAATGAAAATTTATAAGTCAGTTATTAACTTCCTATATAAAAGCATATATTTTCTCTCTAACGCCACAATATAACAAATTTTAGAAACCACTCAACAAAAGGAAAAGGGAACCAACCCTCTAGCTAGTTTTCCATCCTTTCAAACCCTAGCGAACACGGCAATGGATTTCACCTCCGTCGTCGCAAAGAAGGACACCGGCAATGGCACAGCGCTTCTCTTAGGGCGTTACCAGGTCGGGAAACTCCTCGGCCATGGTACTTTCGCCAAAGTTTACTACGCGCGCAATGTCAAAACCGATGAGAGTGTGGCCATTAAAGTGTTAGACAAGGAGAAAATCCTCAAAGGAGGCTTAATCGCTCACATTAAGCGCGAAATTTTCATCCTCCGCCGTGTACGTCACCCCAACATCGTGCAACTCTTCGAAGTTATGGCCACCAAGACAAAGATCTACTTCGTAATGGAATACGTCCACGGTGGTCAGCTCTTCCACAAAGTCGCCAAAGGACGATTAAAAGAAGACGTCGCCAGGAAATACTTCCAGCAATTAATCTCAGCTGTTGATTTCTGTCACGCCCGCGGCGTTTACCACCGCGACTTGAAGCCCGAGAATCTACTCCTCGACGAAAACGGGAATTTGAAAGTCTCGGATTTCGGGTTGAGCGCGGTTTCGGATCAGATCCGGCAAGACGGTTTGTTCCATACGTTTTGCGGGACCCCTGCTTACGTAGCGCCGGAAGTTCTGGGGAGGAAAGGATACGATGCCGCCAAAGTAGATATATGGTCTTGCGGGGTAATTTTGTTTGTTTTAATGGCGGGGTATTTACCTTTTCACGACCGTAGCATTATGGCCATGTATAAGAAGATTTACAAGGGCGACTTCAGGTGTCCCAAATGGTTTTCACCTGATTTAATATGCCTACTTACAAAAGTTCTCGATACGAACCCGGAAAGGAGAATGACAATCTCAGAAATCATGGAGAACCGTTGGTTTAAAAAGGGTTTTAAGCATGTTAAATTTTACATCGAAGACAATAAATTTTGCAGTATTAAGGACGACGACGACGACGAACTGGGATCATGCTCCTCGGACCATTCAACATACTCGGAGCCAGACGCTGAGCTTGAAACTAGGAAGAAAGTGGCTTCATTACCGAGGCCAGCTAGTTTAAACGCGTTTGATATTATTTCGTTTTCGCCTGGGTTTAACTTATCTGCATTATTTGAGGAAGGAGAGGAAGGGTCAAGATTTGTGTCAGGTGCACCCGTTTCGAGAATTATATCAAAACTGGAAGAGATAGCGAAGCTGGTCAGTTTTACAGTGAGGAAAAAGGATTATAGAGTGAACCTGGAGAGCTGTAGAGAAGGAGCGAAAGGGCCATTAACCATTGCCGCCGAGATATTCGAGTTGACGCCTTCATTGGTTGTTGTGGAAGTGAAGAAGAAAGGAGGGGACCGAGGGGAGTATGAGGAGTTTTGCAACAAGGAACTGAAACCAGGGTTAGAGAATTTGACGCTGGAACAATCACCGGAACATGCACCCGCACCTGCTGATGCCGACAATTCATATGCCATGTCAGATACGGAATAGAATTGAAAGAGAGAGGGTGACATGAAGGGAAAAGGGCAAAGCTCTAACAATTCTTTTTGTTTTCCCTTTCTTTTATCTTAGGTTCTTGTATCATTAAAAAAAAGGGTATCTTTTGACCAGCTTGAAACGATGTATGATCTATTCTTGTCGTGACAAGGGAGGATTAGATCGCAGAGAATTCAATACAAAGTTCTATTGATCCCGGCAATTGTATTTCTGGCTTGTATACTTCATTTATATTGTCTCTGTCTTTTGTAATTTTGACCAGCTAGTGTGACACAAGTTCAATGCTTATTGCTTAGCATTAAGCATCTAGGTTTGGTATATTTTCTTCACCATTGCTTCTGGCCTGAATGGTTTTCTGGAGGATTCATATGAAACAGTTTTTGCCTCAATGGTTTGTGCTCGTTATTGCTAGAATGTTGTATTCGTAGTATGGGTAGGAATGGGTATAAATATCTTGCAACAATTCCATTCAATGTCTCTTTTTCTATCCATGCATTTGAGGAGATGGGACAGGTACAATAGACGGGGACTGCGAAGAGGACAGAAACCTATCATTTACTTAAAATCATTTAGTTATCTGTCAATTTGAACTGGCCAGTGGATTGCCTTGGTATGGGGCAATTATGTAGTTAACCCTTTGTTGAGGATCTTGTTAGGACATTATCGAACGTGGCCCAATCTATGTTGTCACTATTTCAATCCGGGAATGAATGCTGAAAACATTTTTATGGGTTTTTTTATGTTTAGGGTGTTTTTGGTTCACTAGATGTAAGATTATCTTTGGGAATAAGATTACCTAAATGTAACATTATCCTGTATTACCCTGTTTGATTTGCTTAGGAGGAATGTAAGATTACAGTGTTTGGTTGGAAGAATATAAGATTATTTGGATGCATATTTTACCAAATTATCCTTGTGATATATATTTTTTAAGGGTAAAGTACACAAATGGCCCATCGATTATGAAAAGTTACAAAATGGTCATCCGACTATAGAGGTTGCTTTATTGAGTTCATCGACTATTAAAAGTTACAAAAGGGTCATAGATTATTCATTATGATACAAGCTCATCATTTTTTTGTTAAGAAATTAGTGGTTATTTGAGTTGGATGTTAACATAATGATTGTGATATGATAGTTGTTTGAGATTATGAGATTAGATTTTATCATATCACAGTCGGCAGGTTAATGTTAAGCTCATAATACTGTTGATTTTTTAACAGAAAAGGAAGAGTTTGGAACAAAATGAATAGTCAGGTGACCATTTTGTAACTTTTAATAGTCAAATGACTCAACAAAGCAACACTCTTTAGTTGGAGGATCATTTTGTAACTTTTAATAGTCGAGGAATTTAATAAAATAATACCCTATAACTGGGGGACTATTTGTATACTTTACCCTTTTTTAACAAGTAAAACTTTAATATTAAATTATAAATATTTGAATGAAAATTTATAAAAAATATTTTAATTATTATACTATCTAAGTTTAAAGAAAATAACACATTTAACACATAATTAATATAATTAGTATATCAAACTTATAATTTTAAATAATTTTCATAAGAATCGTATTTATTTATATAAAATATAATGTAAGATGAAAAATAATATTATGAACTCGAGCGGATAAATATATTAATTTTTAATGTATAAGATCTATTTTTATATAACTCAAACTTAAATATTATTTTAAATAATTACATTTTTACAATAATAATATTTTCACCTCATAAAATTATAAAATAATTAATATACTAAATATAAAAATATAAAATAATTTTAATTACTCAAATTTATTAATATTTTATTAAATTAAACTATTTGTATACTTATTATTATTATTAATTTATAATTTTGAGTAAAACCCGAAGAATAAAAACTGAGAAGGATCCATATGAAAAATTATTATTTCATGGGTATTTATGTCTGATAATCGTCGTTTTGTTATCAAAATAATTTCGGTTTCTTAAATAGAAAGAAAAAGGTAGTATAGAATCAGGATCGATCCACAGGGACTGTGGTGTTTTTGATTTAGTAAAATTATTTCCTGATTTTAGGAGGAGATGGAATTCCAAGTAAATTTAAGAAGATTTAATAAAATAAAATAGATAATAATAAATAAAAGAGAAAATAATAAAATAATAAATAATAAATAAATAAAAAGGTTTTTAAAAGTTGTTTTAAAATAAAAGATAAGAATCAAGTAAAAGAAACAATTAAATAAATAATTGAAAGAGATTGAGATAAAGAGAAACTTATTGTGAAAGCAGCCTCAGACTTCAGCTTTGCCTCAAATTCCTCGGATCATCGAAACATATTTTTACTTCAAGATTCACGTGGACTTACAAGGACAATTCTTCGTTGCCAACTCGGATTGTGTCGTTTCAACAATAACTGATTCTGATCTCAGTTTCCTCTTAGCAAACAATTTTGCTAAGTGTGTTCTCGGGAAGTTGAATATGCTTCAATAAGCAAATCTTTCTTCAAATGTTAACAATAACAACATCCGGACCAATGTCGAAATCATTTAGATTTGAAAAGTATGCTCAGAAAACAGAGAGAAAAATCTGAAGTGATTTAAGTACCTTACAATTTTCACGTTTGGAATTGAGCCTTCGCTTCAGTCTTTGGTTTGAGAGAAAATTAGCTAAGTAAGACCAAAGTCATACTGAGCATAATTGAAAAGTATGCAAAAAATAGAGAGAAAGCTAGAGAGAAAAAGAAGATTTTATTCTCAATTAGAAAGATATGTTTCTAGGCTTAGCCTGAGAGGGTATTTATAACCTTCAAATTCCTAAAAACAAGCTAAAACATCTTAAATCCTAATTAAAACACTTAAAACTATTTAAACTAAAATACCTAAAAAAATAATATTTAAAATAATATTCTAAATCCTAATTAAAATACTAAAACCTATTTAAACTAAAATACCTAAAACAAAGATAAAATATAAAAATAATATCCTAAAACTTAATTAAAATACTAAAACCTATTCAAACTAAAATACAAAGATAAAATATAATGTTTAAAATATTATCCTAAACTCGAGTTTAATTCAAATCTGAATTATAGCCAGCTTTGATTCCGAAAATAAAAAAGCTGTAGAATTCTGTCCTTTTTGTACAATTTCTAGAATCTGAAGTCCTGCACAGAAAATGAATCAAAACAAACAATTAAACCATAAAAACCAATGATTAAGGAATAATTTAAAAGTAAAATATTAACTAAATTAAGCATTTATCAATGTCTAAAATGGTGGGAATTGTAAATTACCTCAGAATTTGGAGGTAATTACATTCCCACTATTTTAACAAAAAAAATACTACTATTGATAATAAGTTATTATCATGTAATGATATTTTCTGTGAACCAAACATAAAAATATAATTTCGAAAAAGATCATTCTCCTTGATAATGATCTTCTCCGTTAACCAAACCCATGATTAATGGCCCAAAATACAAAAACAACAATTGGACTCAATTTTTTTTGGGGTAATATAACAACCAGAAATATTACCTGGATTTCGAGAAAAAAGGCCTTTATTAATGAACAATATTGACGCCATGTACATATATTCAGTAAAAAAAAATTAGCCTGTCATTGGAATTTTTTGTTGAGAAAATAACCTCAGTGACCAAAAATGCCTTATAATATACGATTTTAACCAACTTTTTTTGGATTTGCCAAAATGACCAACTAAATCGCAATGCGATCGATAATTCGCAACGCGATCTCCAGTATCGCAATACTGAATTTCAAATTCGCAACTCGATTTCTGAATTCGCAACAGGTTTTAATTTCGCAACACAAATGTTTTGGGTATATAACTACGCAGTAGCAGCAACTCATAACCTAAATCTCTAAATCGCAACTCATTCCATCTCCATCTATCACTCTCTCCGGCGACATCCGTTCCTATATCCAACGATATCCTTCCCCATCCGGCAACAGGTTTTAGTTTCGCAGCTCGTTTGTTTAGTAAATTAATTTACAATAATGAAATCATCTAATGTTGATCATGTTTGGATAGATTTGTGTTTTGGAGGGTCATGAGAGAATGTTCATGGTGTTTTACAATATATATCTTTACCCATGAATCTTCAACTAAAACTGTCATTAAAAAAGTTAACTTATGAAACTCTAATGTTACGTGTTGCAAATAAATTGAATTTAGAGCCTCTAAGTGGATTTAGGCTATCTTATCAGAGAAATGGTAAAGTTTATTTGTTAACCGACAATGAAGATGTTGAACGATTCATTGCTTACATTAGTGTTTCAAGTGATGATGTTACATTGTATGTTGTTGAACCTAGAAGTAGTGAAGTTGGGTCAGTAGCGGGTAGTAATCAACTAAGTTTTTTAACCCCAATTTATGGTGCTCAAAATTTAATGGTTCCACCACAATTTCATCACCAAGCAAATATTGTTTCACCACATTTCCAATACCAAACACAATCTCAAAACCCACAACCTTTCCCTAGTCCAAATCCCAATCAACTTTCAGCACCAAATTTTGGTTTTCGTATTGACCAGTTAGACGATGATGAGCCAACAAAAAAATTTGTGAGTACTAGTCAATATTCGAAATTTGATCTTAGTCAATACCCAGACTTTGATCTTGGTCAATACTCGGATTTTGATGATTTTTCAGAAGAAGAAACAGACCCTGTCTGTAATGATTTTGATATTGGTCAATACCCGAATTTTGATGATGAAACAGCCGTTGCCGAGGAAGATGTTGTTGATGTTAATGAGGAGGAAGTTACAATTGTAAATGAACATGTTGAACATCCATTCTGTAATTCATATAACACTGAAGAAGAAAAAGAAGAAGAAGAAATCCCCAAAGAAAAGTCCCCGAAGAAAATGCCACGGGAGTATAATTGGAATATGCTAGAATTACTTCAGATACCGGAAGAAGAGTTGGTAAAGATAGCAGTTGATTGTTACACAAAAATTATTCGTATCAAGAAAGATGATTGTTTTGATACAAAGGAAGACTTGAAGATAGCTTTGTATATGAAATGTGTGGAAGATGGCTATCAACTAAAAGTTAACAAATCAAGCAAAGATCGTTTCGAAACAAGGTGTATGATTGACAAAAACTGTATGTGGCGTATGATTGCAAAGAGGATAAAAGATTGCGAAATGTTTCAAGTTAGGACTT